TGTGTGTGTGTGTGTGTGTGTGTGTGTGTGCGTGTGTTCATGAGTTTGGGAACGAGCTGCTGTGTGTGGGTGGCGCGCTCGCGACACCTGCAGCGACGACATCACTGCACGCGCGCGCGCGCCCACATCGCCCACCGTCCAGCGTGGCGGTCCCCCTGCCCAGCTCGTCCAGTGCCACGAGGCTGTGCTGTGTGGCGCGGGCCAGCATGGCGCCCGTCTCGTTGAGCTCCACAAAAAAGGTGGACTGGCCCACAAGGATGTTGTCCCTGCACGCCGCCACAATGGTGACGGTTCATGGTTAAAAATATGCACAATAACATGTATATATGTGTATGCAAACACATGTGTATGTATTTGTATTTGAGACTAGGCAGAAGGGGTGGGGTACTGCGAGGGACTGCGTATCCAAGGTTGGTCAGACGGGGGGCTGCGGTCGCTGTTTGCTTCGTTCTTGCAGTCAAAGGCTGTGGTTCTTCAAACCATCAGGCAGGGGAGCGAGGATGGCAAACAAGAGGCCGGGCCACGGGCGAAGGGGGGATGCGGGCGCTTGTGCGCCCCTAATCACTCCCGAGCCCGTGGTCGGGGGTGTCCAGACCATATGCATGTGTGTGTGTGTATGAAATGTGCGGTGGACGAGGGCTGGTCTGTCCAAGGTTGTTCAGATGGGGTAGTAGCGTTGACCTTTGCTTCATTCTTGCGGGCAAAGGTCGTGGCGCTTTGAAATAATCAGGCGGCAGAGCGAGGTTGGGAATCAAGAGGCCGGGGTATGGGCATAAAGGGGGGGGGATGCGGGCGCTCCTGCGCCGCAAAGACCTCCCGAGCCCGTGGTCGGGGGTGTTCAGACCGAGCGTGCGGCGCGTCCGGGCTCACCGCGCCCCCATGCGGACGAAGATGCCGTCCATTGCCGTCATGGTCAGAGCCTCCGCAGGCACCCACGCGCCGATCTTGGGGGTGTTGTTTTGGGAAGAGGGGGTGGGGTGGGCTTTTGGAGCTTGTTTTGCGGGGGGAGGAAGGCACGAAATGAGCACCAACAATATCGAGGTGGGGGGGGGCATGAGAGGAGACAGGGACAAAGGGACGACCGATGGTGAGGGGGCGCAGAGCGGCGGCCGGAAGGGCCGGCGGGGCGAGCGCAGGCATGAGCCTGCAGCTGGGGGATCCCATTGTCGGCCCAACGCCCCCTCTCGCACCACAACGGGGGTCCTTGCAAACTGACTCCTCTCATACGATCTGGAGTGCTCTCGCCCCATCTCATCTCCTCTCATCCCATCTCATCTCATAACTGCTCCTCTCGTATCTTCTACTCTCATCCCGTCTCATCAAAGTTCGTCCCACCCCCGCTCATTTGGCGCCGTTGTCCCCGCCCACCTGGGCCAGAACCGCCGCCAGGCAGACCTGCCGCAGCAGCGTCGACTTGCCGCCCATGTTGGGCCCCGTCAGCAGCAGCAGCCGCGGCGCGCCGCCCCCCAGCCGCACGTCGTTCGGGACAAACGCGCCGCCGCCGCCGCCGGAGAGCAGCGCGGGGTGGCGCAGCTGGGTCGCGTGGAAGAAAGGGCCAACAGGGCGCGCCGCGTTGGTGCCGTTCGCGTCGCCCTCGGCGCCGTTGGGGGCGGCGGCGGCGGCGCCGTCGGCGGCCGGGGAGGGGAGGGGGTCGAGGACGCGGGGGCGGCTCATGACGCCCTCCGCCGCGAGGGCGGCGCCTGCGGGGGTGGGGTGAGAATGGGGGCGGCAGGTCCAAATTGGTCGTCGCACTGGGCCCAAGCGGCAGCGGCGCCGGGGCGGGGACGGGGACGGGGGCTGGGCGGGCGCGGGGATGAGAGGTGAGCTGACGGAACACGGCGGGCCGCGGCGCGGCGTCGCGAACGGCCCTGCGGCTGAATGCACTCGGGGCACCAATCGTATGCCATAGAGCACAGCCGGCGTCAGCGGCCAAGCCTTAAACCCTACACGCTAGCATCTTAGATGCTAGCATTGCCAGAAACTGGGCAGGAGGAAACGGAGGGACAGGGGCCTGGGGCCAATCCCCGCATCCCGCCCCACCCGCGAGGGCCATGAGCGTGTCCAGCACCGCCGCCGCCTCCACGGCATCCGACCACAGCGCGCGACGCGCCACAAACTTGCGCTCCAGGGACTGGAGTTTCATGTTTCGAGGGGACGGTGTGGGGTTCAGGGGGTGAGGGGGCGAG